GCCATTTTTATCTTATCGATATATTTCGATTTTTTGCTATATATCGATATATATCTATATAAAAAATTTTCTGATGTCAGATTAGAATTTACTAGCTAATACTAAATCTAAGTCTTAAGTTGAAATGCCAAATGACCACAACCCAAAAAGAGGCATAGATAAATTGGAAGATAGCTCCAATAAGGCTACCCTCAAGCATATTCAATATAAGAAAACTGCATGAAGCAACAAGATAGAGGAGGCAACAATTCACTTCAATCAATTTACCAAAATTATTCCAACAATAAAAGAAAAACCGCACAAAACTACAACATGCTTTACTTTATAGGATCTGCTTAATGAAACTAAGACAAATTAAATTAGAAGAGCTCTAAGTTTTTATGAAAGAGCAATAGTCAAATGTTTTATAACTAACAGCAAAACGAAGGCCGCACAAGTTGAAGTTATGTTTAGAAATCAAAAAAGGAGTGATGAATTGCAAAACTGTTAGAAGTACACTTCAAAAATAGCAAGATGATAAGAATAACACCAGGGTTCCTAGACAAAGAAACACTTATAGAAAGAAGCAAATTCAAATTAGTTATTAAAAACCTACCCAAAATAGTGGCAAAATCAGCACTATTAAGACAACTGAAAAATATAAAAGCAAAGACAGTGTATATCTCAACAAATTGTAATAGAAACCAAAGAGGCATAGTCTCAGTATATTTTGCTTCAAAAGAAGACCAAGTAAGAGCAATAGAACAAATAGTTTATTATTTTAATACAAAGTTAGAATGGGCAAACTTAGATAGTAAAGAATTCAAGAAACCATATCAACAATCTAAAAAAAAGAGCAGTATCGTAAAGTCTTGTGATATCAATATTAGCTGCTTAACTGATAAAAAAAATATAAACCTAAAAAAGATGACTACAGATTCATTAGAGAAAAAGGTATTCTTAAACCTAAATGCAAACTCAACAACAACAACAAGAAACAACAGCCTCCAAATAGTCTTAATAGAAAGCAGAATTCAAGAACTTAGCAAGTTGTAAAAAAAGTGGAAAAAAAAGAGAATATTCAAACAAACTTGCTATATGAAATTCTAAAAAAGCTCAAATTATTAAAAGAGCACCAGAGTGAAACAATAGCCTCAATTACTTCTAAAAGGTGCAACTAGTGTTATAACAAATACAGGTACCCTGAATAATGGCCAGGTTCAAACACAGATAGTACCTACATTTAATCTAAGACTGGTCAAACAAATGAAGATAAAGTTGGCAACACACAATATAAATAAGCTAAACACATATAGATATAGATTAGATATGTTCATCAGGAAGTTTTAAAGGTATTATTATATGCCATTATATGCATTAATTAATATTACTCGTTAAATAATACGATTACTCTATATTAAACAAC